ACAGAATTGTATTCCATGCATGTATGATTATGTCAAAATGAATCGCACTATTTTAACTAAAATGCACTAATAAAAACATTAAAAAGGGATAAAATTAGTTTAAATATGCACTGGAAGAAGTGATGAAGTCAGAAACCTGAATCAAAATGGAATCTTGATTCTAATAGTGATTTTAGGTTACTCTTTTAGCACCATTCCCATCTATTAAAATGGGTATAAAAACATCTTTTTATGAGTAGGAATGCTATGAGATAAACAAAAATATGAAAATTACTCTGTAAATAGCTAAGCCTTACTAAAATTTCCAAGAATTTTTCTCCCAGCACTACCAGTGAATTCTGTTTTTTTTTCCCCTCCAAGCTTACATTTTCATGATATTAACATGTTATTTTACCTTGTATTTATAATTTCCCTTGCAAGACTATGCATACCTTAAGGTTAGTGTACTTCCTACACTAGAACTTAGCAGAAATTCAGTGAACAATTTAACTTTTTAATTTGGTACCAGGGATTGTACTCAGGGGCACTCAACCACTCAGCCACATCCCTAGCCTTATTCTGGGTATTTTTGTTTTGGGGGGGGCAGTGCTGGGGATTGAACCCAGAGCCTGTGTATGCAAGGCAGGTATTCTACACCAAGTGAGCTACGTCCCTAGCTGAGACAGGGTCTTACTGAGTTGCTTAGTGCCTCGCCATTGCTGAGGCTGGCTTTGACCTCATGATCCTCCTGCCTCAGCCTCCCGAGATGCTGGGATCACAGGCGTGGGCCGCTGTGTCCAGCTGAACAGTTCAACTTTTGTTTCACAATTATGTTATTAAGACTACAGAAACAAAGTATTTAGAAATTACACTTCACACACTAGATTTTATTCACACATACAGTGAAGTCCCAATTGAAAACAATTACCGACCTGGAGTTGTAGCAAGAAAGTAGAGAGCACTCACTTAGCATGCATGAGGCACTGGGTTCAATCCTCAGCACTACATGAAAATAAAGTTACTGTGTCTACCTACAACTAAAAAAATAGTTTAAAAAAAGAAAACAATTACTTATTTTCCTAGAACACAAGTGGAAGACTCAGTAGTTATACAAACTCCTCTTGCTGGAAAATAGTGACCACCTCCAACCCAGGCCCCACTATGTCACAAGTCTCTACATATCTATTATAAAGCTAAGTGTTTGCGAGTGAGAAACTTTCTCAATTATTAATTCTAATACCTGGTACACACTAACTTCTTAAGAGCTGAGCACATATAAGAGGGCTGAAAAAAGGTCTGCATTATATTCACTGAGAAAAACAATTTCTGTGTTTTTAAAGATTAAATAAGAATCAATGCCAAAAATGAATCAAACAATATAATTCCTGCCTTCTTAATCTATTAAAAAGAAATCTCATCTTTCAAATAATAGAGTGTTCCTAAACTGTAAGGACATGCCTAATACTGTGGGGATAAAAATTTGTTTTGGACATGCTGGCATTCACTGGCTTAAGTTTTTCTCCCACTTTTTCAATATATTTTCCCACATGAACAGAGTCAGAAAGTTGAAATCAAATCTTAGCTTGCTACATAACATAGAACAAAGCAAATGCTCATTAGGTAACAGCTGATGTTATCAGAGTAAATTTTGTAAAAGAAAAAATCATACGTGCACCTTCATCCTTTCAAGCTATAAAGGTCTGAGATAGGCATACTCAAAGAAACCAGTGTGTCTGAAGAGGATGAAACCTCATCAGAGATAATGATGGAATGAAGAAAACTATGATCAAACAGTAGAAAAGCTGAGACAAAAGCAGCAGACAGGGAGAGGAGGGTCCAAGAGTAAAGCACTTGACAATCAGACTAGAAGGGATGACAAGTCAACAGAGGAGTTTGCATTTTTACCAGTCACAGGATTTTAGAGAATAAATATAAATGCCTTCCCAATCCCCAACTCTAGACCTAAATTTCTTTTGAGGCTAAAACTGGCTGGGATCTCAGAGGGCACAGTCTGTTCTATCCAGATAGCCTTTGTCCAGGCTGAGCAGCTGCTTGAAAAGGGAAGGCTTGGCACCCCTGGCCTGTGTTGCTGAGCAGGGATGGCAATCCCAGCAGGACTCGGGTTCATTAACTAGCTAAGCTCCCTAAGCAAAGGGCATCATAACCTGCAGAATGGCAACCAAGTCAGTTTCTAGTTCTGAGACCCTCAAAAAGCTACTTTTTCCAGTTTATGCAGACATTAAGGGAAAAAAATCTACGTCAACCAAATCAGAACTGACGAGTAACACTAGCGATTTGTAGAGTTTTAATACACTTATTAGCTTGAGAATCAAGTTGCATCCCTCCTGACAGATCGACTTAAAAATGTTCTGAGCACTGTTCAGGGAGCAATTGAATCAAAAGCACAGAAGGTATGTGCTCAATAATCAAACTATGGCATTTCCTACTGTGTTCCCCTTCTAAAAGCTCAGCATATTTCTATACAAAGATCCTCACTGATGCAAGGATGGAGTCAAACTTATACCTTGAACTCATCTCTTCTTACCATGTACCTCCCTCTTCCATTTCTGAAATCCCCTCCTTTTTTTCCCGTAACTTATCTGAATGCATGTTTTAAAACCATGGGGAAAATTACATTTATTCCTTCCCAGGTTTCAAGGTTTTTAAGCGATATTTTAAGTTTCTTTCATAATCACTATAAAAATCTAACGAACAACATTAAACAGTAATGAATCATAATGACACTGATTGGTTAGGCTTTTTTTGTCATTAATTGCCAGTCAAAAAGTTGAGTGTATGCCAATAAGTACCACAATAAGATGCAATTTATCTTTGCAGGCAATAAAGGGGCCCCAGAATCTCAGTAAACAAAAGAGCACACTAATCAATTTTGCAATGAATAGTTCTAATACTGTATACATGACATTCTAGGATACTCAGAAGATGAAATATTAAGAATGCTTCAGAAATTGATCGATATTTTTATTAGGAAAATCAAAATAACTTAGGAAAACAAAGCCTGGAGGGGAAAACATCTTTATAATTCAAAGGTTTTCACCATTTAAAAACATGTTGCACAAGCATAAAAATTTCCCAAATATCCAAAGAACATTAGGATCCTCCCAAGGAAGCTGAATACTCTATCACCACACATTGACAACCATGAAACATACACAATATTTTTGTATCAATTACTTAAATAATGTCTTTCTGAATATAGATGGGAAACAGACTCCATATATCAAGCCTCAGGAAGTACAACATGAAATATGTCATACAAATTAAACTATAATCCCATCTCCAGACAGTTCAACAGTCTGGTGAAAGCTCTGCTGCCTGACATATCTTGCTAAAGATGTTAAGTAGTTATGACAGGTGATCACTCCACAGGGAAGAAATAAGGTAATAGCTATAGTTTCAAAGCAGAAGGAATGAATGTGCCTTATATTTCGCTACCGAGACCGTAGGATGAGCAGCACCTCTTCATCTAAAAGATCCAGTAAGACAGAACGGTAGACATGTGGAATCTAAATTAATTGAAGGTGAAGTGAAGCTAGGAGCGGAAAAAAATCCTCTGTGTACAAGAAAAAAAGTTGGGGGCTGGGGTTGTGGCTCAGCAGTAGGGCACTCACCCAGCACATGCAAGGCCCTGGGTTCAATCCTCAGCACCACATAAAATAAAGGTATTGTGTCCATATACAACTAAAAAAATTTAATCTGAGAATACAGTAGAAAAATGTAGAGCCACTTTCTATTTTTCTGTTATTCTGGAAAAAAAATTAGTAATTCTGATATTGATCCATTCAGATCATTAAAGAAATATGCTCTAATTTTAGAATCATAAAACTATCCAAAGATGGATCTGTCCATGGGCAAATGGTGGAAAATTCAAGATGAGAGAAGAATTAATCCTTAAAATGATAAAATGTAAAGTAACCAGAGAGTAAAAAAAATTTATATCATACTACAGGTAGTTGAGGAAAGATTTTTCTTTAAGCCTCCACTATCACAATGTATGGCTATAAGCATGTTTTAAAACCACGGGGTTTTAAACCAAGTTCAAGTTTATGATCTAACTCTACCTTCCCTTATGAATTTAAATTATTTATAAGTGCTAATTCAACCCGTTACTAAAAAACAAAAACCATCTAATCCTTGAAACTGGTCATTTCAGGACAATAAAAATGAAAATGTTCCATCTTTGTCTATGTTAGGGCAACTCATCTTTGAGTGAAGAGAAAGAACTCCTTTCAAGTCTCAAAGCATATGATTAAAATTAGCAATATGTATTAAGAATTATAACCCTTTAAGAATTTTACCTTCCAAATCCTTGACCATACTGACTTTTGCTGAAATCTTAACATTTTCATTCTGAATTTTTAGAATGTAAAGGGTGGTGGGGAAGAACAGTTCAACTAGTAGACAACACCTGGTATACAGAGTGTATTGAACCACACATTAAAATCAGTGCATGCAGCTGGGCACGGTGGTATACACATCTATTCCAAGCAACCCAGAAGGCTGAGGCAGGAGAATCTCAAGTTCAAAGCCAGCCTCAGTAAATTAGAGAGTCCCTAAGCAATATCCTGACTCTTTAAAAGAAAAAAGGGCTGGGGATGTGGCTCAGTATTTAAGCACCCCAGATTCAATACATGGTACAAGAAAAAGAAAAAAACAGATTTTTTTTTCCTTATACACAGATTTTAGAGAGGATTTTTCCCCCATCCTAGCTTCCCTTCACCTTCAATTAATTTAGATTCCACAAGTCTACCATTCTGTCTTATTAGATCTGTTTTAAATGAAGAGGTGCTGCTCAGTTTACAGTCTCAGGGAAATACAAGGCACATTTTTTCTTTCTGCTGTCTATTATTAATTTGTCCTACTCTATTGACATCAACTGATAGTATAATTTAACTGAATAACAGGGCAGTTTTGGAATGATGAAACTAATGTGGGTGCTATAAAAAAGAAAACTGAATAAACTGAAGTACTATAACAGTACTCACCCATAAGAGACATACCTGCTCATTTTGATGCCACATTCCTTGTTGCTTCAGAGACGGGATGGCCCAGATGCTCAGTTTCCCTGAGAAATGAGTGGCTGCAAGGAGGCTTCCTTGTGGTGAAAGGCTCATCTTGAAGATTCCATCCTATACAAGTCATAAGGTCAGAGCAAAGGACTTGTCAACAGGCACAAATCATTGACAGTCATCAGGGGTGCCATGTTATAAACGATTGTTAGTCCCTGGGAGTTCTACCCACTTCATATGCTTGTGCTCCAGCCTATCCCCTGACCTTAACAAGTTTTTGTCTATTTATAGCAGCAAAATCAACACAAAACCCTAAATCCAAACATGAAAATATCCTAAAAATATTTCTTCAACCAAAAATTATGAGTTATCAAAAACTTTTAAAAGTTTTTAATAGATTATGAATTCCTTAAAATGCAGACCCACATATGGGAGTGATGGTTAAAGGATAGAGGGTCATTTTCAGGGTAATAAAAATTATAAAATGAATAAAACTAATTAAGATAGTTACAAAGTTCTGTGCACACATTAAAAATCAGCGAATTGTATCCTTGAAATAAGTGAACTGTAGTGTATGTGAATAATATAAAGCTGTTCCCAAAAAAGGCATTAAACCACATGTTTGCTCAATGAAATTTCCTCTAGCTTCCTGCTGACATTAAACCACTAGCTCAAATGTCCCATTTGATTTTTTCTTAATTAAAACACTAATTAAAGCTTTCTACTACTGGCAGTAATATTTAGAGTAGAAACTGTACCTTCTCTCAAATATTGTATTAAAATTTATCTGTCCTTTCTGAGGGGATTTTTTTTTAATGTCAAATATCAGATCTCTGTACTAAAATGAATTTAAACTGCTTCACTCTCTTCAACTGCCCATCATCTACATGGAATAATTAAAAAGGAGTGATCTGTTTTCTATGCCTTTTGGTACACATGCCATATTAAAGTGAAAATACTGAATTCTAGGTTAAACACTCCAAACATTCTGAATTACTACCTGTTTTTAAAGAAATCTCATATCAATAAATGGTTATAACTATAGCTCTTCTAACATCCCAGAATTACATATTAAATATTACATATTCAAGAATAAATATTACATGCCAAGTACTGTTGTATACTCTGGGAAGTCAGTGAACAAATTCATGCCCACAAAGAGTTTAGTACACATTTTAGCCAACTGATTTTGAAGTCTCATTAAGATAACAATTTTTTTAATGTATCCTTAAAATTAAGGGAAAAAAATCATCTTGAAAAGCCTGGTTGACAACTCAGAAAAAAGCACACTGTCAAAGTATGAGAAGAAAATGTAAAAGTAAAAAAGACAAAAGTCTTTAGAATGAGACAATTTTCTAAGCCAATATTTTCTATAAAATATAAATAATCTGATTATTAATAAATCCTTTAAAAGATTATATGCCAGTCAGACATTGATTATTTAAAGGCATATAAGTTTTGTGTACATTAAATCACAATTTAAAAGAACCTATAAGCTACTAGTTCTATAATTATGGATATAAAATAGATCAACAGCTGCCACCATCATTTATTGTTAACATGACAACCACTGCCCTTAATGCCTTGAGAGAGAGAGAGTGTGTGTAACCTCTGATATTGTGCAATTTTCTATTTACTTCTTGGTTTTGCTAAGAAGTAGAAAAATGAACTAAATATTTACAATATAGTTACTGCATAGGAAAGTAGATCCCTTTTAAAAATGTATTAATACTCAAGAAGAAGACAGTGTAAAAGAGAAACATAACCACCAAACTTGCTACCAAGCTTGAGTAGTAAAATAGATCATTCTTCGTGAAATAAAAATATATAGCCAGGCATGGTGGCGCACACCTGTAATCCCAGAACCGTATTTCTAAAACCTACTTTGCAAAGTTTTTCACTTTAAGTAAAATATATCTGAAAAATAATTCATCATTATAGTGTTGCTATATAAATGATTTTGATTGTTTTCATTTCATGTTTAGGATAAGACTGCCAAGCTGAGGCAGGAGGATCACAAATTCAAAGCCAGCCTCAACAGTTTAATGAGGCCCTAATCAACTTAGGGAGACCCTATCTCAAAATTAAAAATAATTTTTTAAGAAGGGCTGGGGAATACCTAATTGAAATAAATTATTTTTTTTTTTTTTTAAGAAAGGGCTGGGGATGTGGTTCAGTGATTAAGCATATCTGGGTTAATCCCTAGGGTCCCTTCCCCCGAAAAAAGTAATATATAGTCTTGGTTATTTTTAAGAATAAATCTTGGTTTCTGTTTCTTCAATTACCCAACTAAATATTTAGACAATAGTCAGAGAGGTTATAGAAAAAGCACCGATTGTGGGCTGGGGTTGTAGCTCAGTAGTAGAGCTCTTGCCTAACAATTGTGAGGCACTGGGCTTGATCATCAACACAACATTAAAGTAAAATAAAGGTATTGTGTCCGTCTTAAAAAAAAAAAGCACTGATCACAAGCAGACCTAAGACCAAACCCATCCCTGCTACTATCTACCTAAATGAACTTGGTAGGCCATTTGTCTTAAAGCTTCAATTTCTTCAATAAAACAGGCATCATGATGCCAGTAATGCCAGCTTCCTGTGAGGTTGTGTGGAAAGTGCTGGTCAGAAAGAGTTCATAATAGTTAATTCTTAAGATATTCTGAGCCCTCAAAAGCTCTAAAATTGCTGCACTAAAAATATGAGCTGTAAGTATTTCTAGGCTAGAAACTTGTAGGTACAAAATAAGATACATAATATGTTTACTGGGAAGTACTGGGTTTAGAATGTTAAATTTGAAGTCTTAAAGTTCAAACAGTTAAGGATGCCAGTACAGTATGTTCATAAGTGAGGATGAAAATTCAAGGAAATAAATAGTTTGCTTTCCTGTTGTTCCATCACAGAGAATCCTAAAAGTCGAGTTCTATCACGAAAGAATAACCAATAGCACAGGTTGAGACTACATAAGCTGGAGTTCAAAGGAGTTGAATGGGATCAAAGGAAGATGGTCATTTACAGATTGAACAGACTACTCCTGCCTAATGGTATGCTAAGGCAATTAATAAACAGTTTGAATGACATACCAGACAGGATATAGAGAAGAGCTGTGAATGTCAAGCCCCCAAATAATTCCTGTTCTAAACATTACTAAACCTATCAGTCCAAATAAAATACACATGGAAAACAAGACACAAGTGCCTATGGATTCACTATCCCAACAAACCGATGCGTTCCAGTGGTGTTGTCTGAGAGTATCCCAAACTCTACTTCTGTTACACAGCCTTCCCCTTCCTGCCTGAGGAACTATTCCTCCCTTCACCATTAGAACACGTGTCACCAGAGTTGAATGCTCCTTCTGCTCTTCAATAGCACTGTATGATTTGTGAGAGGGCAGGTCACAGAAGGCCACGTCTTGTCCTTGTCTGAGTCTGTCTCACTACACATAAGGGCTCCTTGAGGAGGGGCCTTTTGTGCATCCTTCTATAGCTCTGAGGAAGTGCTTGCTGACGAAATAAATGAATACTGAAATTCCACATTCTCGCTTAATTACAGTCAGATTCTTTTAAATGAACATTTTAATTTTATTAAAAATAAAGTTATTATTTAGATGATACTAGGTACAATGAGAAAAGGATCCAGGGAGAAAGGCAAAGTAATGCTCCTTTTCATGGTAATGAAAAGACCAATAGAGGCAACACGGTAAATTAGAAAAAATGAACTTCAAGGCAAAAGCCAAGTCATTTAGCCTTGCCTATGTTTGTCTACAAAATAAAGAAAACTTCATGAAATAATTAAAAATACAGGGCATGGGGATAGTAAAGATGGTGGAATGAGATGGATACAGCTACCCCAGGTACATGTATGACTACAAAATGGTGTGACTCTACTTCATGTACAAGGTGGAAAAATTCTGCTCCATTTGAATATAATGTATCAAAGGATTCTGCTGTCCTGTGTAACTGATTAGAATATACATATAAATTTTTTAAATCCCAAAAAATATAGAAGACAATATGGATTTTATTACGGGGTACCAGAGTAGCTTCATTACATTAAAAGTCCTCACAAAATAAATGAATGCTAACTAGAAAACAGTTCAAATATGCAAAGGACTAAGAAAAAAAGTGACTTTCTAGACACAAAGAACAGTGAGAGCTTTTGCTCATCACTACAGAATGGCAAATCTATCCAGACTACATGATTTAGCTTAAGTCAATGGCAGAGAAATAATTAGAACCTAAAATTTAAAATATATGAAATACAAATGGTGAAATAGAATGCTTATTACATTTCTCCGCTTGGCTCAGTAAATAAATTGAAGTAGAAAAATCAGGCTATTTGATTCTTCCTGTAACAGGAGTATGAACTGATTCTCCCATGTAGGTCAAGATTCTTTTGAGAGTCACACCGAGAGTAAATATAACCAGATCCCCTGGAGGCAATTCTGATATGTATCACTAATATTCAGAATGAAACTGTCCAACTCAATTGTCATGGACCCATGCTTCTCTAAGTAACAAATCAGTAAAATAAATGATACCTGAAACCCTAAATCAATGTGGCTCCTTCTCATCTCTTGGAACAACAGTAATCTCAAACTTGAGGATTTTTTTTTAGTTTTATAAGAAGCCAAAAAAAGTGATCTATTGTGAAAAGGAATTTTTAAAAATCCACAAGATTTTTTTTAAAAAAATTCATAGATGTTAATCTTCTCATGCTCTTCCTCCCTGCTCTGTTCTTAGTTGCTCTCCTTATATCAAAGACAACATTTGGCATTTGTTTTTTTAGGGATTGGCTAGCTTCACTTAGCATAACATTAAACAGGGACGAGAGGTGGGAGGGAAAGAGAAGGGAAATTGCTTGGAAATGGAAGGAGACCCTCATTGTTATACAAAATTACATATAAGAGGAAGTGAGGGAAAAGCGGAAAAAAATAAGGGAGAGAAATGAATTACAGTAGATGGGGTAGAGAAGATGGAAGGGGAGAGGAGGGGAAGGGGGATAGTAGAGAATAGGAAAGGCAGAATACAACAGACACTAGTATGGCAGTATGTAAAAACGTGGATGTGTAACCAATGTGATTCTGCAATCTGTATGGGGGGCGGGGGGGAATGGGAGTTCATAACCCACTTGAATCAAATGTATGAAATATGTCAAGAGCTATGTAATGATTTGAACAACTAATAATAAAAAAAATTATAATTATGTTAGATCTGTATTCAGTAGCATCACCAATTCACTTAAGGGACATCTGTTATATTAAATTTCAGCTTTTCTTGCAAGAGTTACTGTTCTCTGATGAGCAGAAATCAGAAGCATCTTGTTTCACTTGAATCTTTAATTTTAAACATAAGAAAATGTTTATATTACAACAAATTTAGACAATATGGTTTAAAAATCTCAAGATACAAATGAATTATATGCTGTCACTCCTGTCTCTATATATTCAAAAGTCAATGGAAATAGTGGTACCATTCTCAAATTTTACATAGCAGTCTGCAGAATGGGACATAGACTTGTATACGTATTTGTGAGTCAATATGTATATTAAGGTTTTATTTTTGTAAAATGTTCCATGGCAGTGTCCAAAGTGTGGGGGGAAAAAAATGTTTCTTCCTGATTCTATAATAAAATGAGGTAGTGTTGCCAGTGGGGTGGGGGAGAGAAGAAATTCATAGATATATGTATGCTTCTAGGAGAATTCTTTAGGCTGTCTTCAGATCCCAAGAAAACTAGGCTCATTCTCTGTATTTCTCTTTAAAGTTTTTTTCCAGTTAAGATTGAGACATACTAATGAATAACCATAAGTTTTTACTAGTGCATATATCTGCATAGTGTATAATTATGAATACACCCGGATGAAGATCTATAATATTCAAAGTTCACTCAACTTTTAACTTTACGGGTACTCTGGTGAAAATGAGAAGCACAAGGTTAAACAAATTTGCATTACCTGTTCTTGTCCCTGGCGACTGTAAAACTTGACACTTAACATCCTTAATAATCCTAGTGTCTTTGGTACCTACAAAATAAATGCACATCATACAAAGAAAAATTAATGAAAAAATTTGTCACTCTACAGATTCTTTTAAAAACAAATCTACAGTAAATCATGTTTTTTTTTTTTTTTTTAACAATTAAGAAAATCTCCAACAGGTGTTAATAATCTTGGTGAGATTCTTTTCGGTTCAGGGGGCGGGGGGAACTACCAACTGGTAAAATCTTACAAAATATATCCAACATCCAATGGTTTCTTAAAATATAAAGAACAGTCTAATACAATTGATAAATATTAGAATCTACCACAAGCTCTTAACGGAGGCTGTCCCAGATTACCAGTTATCCTAGCACCACTACAGAAAATTTCAAAACTGCCAACAAATTTTATTAAGAAACTCATTCTACACTCTTAAAATACTGGAGAAAAATTCATCATTTAGAAATCAATATTTAAAATAACAATATAAGAGGCAGGAGTTATAGCTCAGTTGGTAGAGTGTTTGCCTACCATGCATAAGGCCCTGGGTTCAATCCCCAGCACAAAAAAACACCACAAGATTAATTTGTGTTTAGATTTAAGAACTATACTTACAAAAGCAAGAAAGACAACTAATTTAAAAGCTGAAAAATAAGTTATTGAGCATGTCAACAATTTGGAACAATTATATATCACTAGTGGGAACACAAGGTACTATAGTCACTGTGGAGAAGTCTGATATTTCTCAAAGTTAAAGGGAAAATTATCATATGACCTAGCAATTCTTTTGTAGGTCTATGCATAAATTATAAACAGGTATTCAAAATACCTGTCCCTGAATACTCAGAAATATTGTTCACAATAGCTGAAAAGTGGAAACAACCCAAATATGCATTAATTAGTGTATAAAAACATGTTGTTTATGGAAAACAATTATTCAGCCGTAAGAAGGAATGACGTAATGGTTGGACCTTAAAAACCTTTAATAAGTTAAAGAAGCCAGCTACCTGAGATCACATAAATGTATGATTCCTTTTTGATGAAATATTCAGAAGAGGTAAAGTCTATAGAGACAAAAAGCAAGCCAGTGGTTTCCAGGAGCTAGGGAGAGGGGGGGAAAGGGATCAACTGTTTGATAACAGGTTTTCTTTTGGGATGGTAAAAATGACTTGAAAATAGATGGTATTGATGGTTTCACAACATAGTAAATGTACTATCACTGAATTGTATACTTTAAAATGGATATGCTTTATTTTATGCTATATGAATTTTGCCCTAGTTAAGGGGGGGAGGGGTAGGGGGTGGGCAAAACATACTGTTAAATTGAGATTAGAAAGTGATGAGAAATTCTCAGTAGCCGTAGTAATGGCCTAGCAACAATTCTCCCAGTATATCCTTCAAAAAAACAAAAAAAAACAAAAAACACCCTCCGGTTATTAAGACACGAAAACTCACCTTCAAAATAACTGCATAAAATGAGAAAAATCGCCCTATCCTGTTGTCTCACCTTCATTATTTCTGCCCACTCATCCCCACTGCAACCACCACCAATGCTTGGTAGCAAACAAAGGCAGATTGAAACAAATACTGTAGGGCCCAATGGGGGGCACAGTCAAGGAAGCTAGCAAAGTCAAAAGTCTGTCAAAATCCACAGCTAACAAGGTTCAATTTACTGAGTCTGAAAACAGTAAAAAAAAAAAACACCATCCATATCCATCAGTCAGACTGCTGAGAAGGAACTAAGTCAGTGTGATGTGAAGGAGCAATCTTCTGAACACAGATTCTGAAGGAGAACAAGGGTTAAAAAGGGAGAAGCACACTTTGCAATTGAGTGGTGAAGGGGAAAGAAGCCCAGGAAACAGCAAGCAACCAGAGAGATCCACAGACCCATAGCCATCTCCACCAGACAGACACCTACCAGTTAGAGTATCTAACTATGCTGCACTAGCCAAAGAGGGCATCACTCGGCTGGAAATCTTGTAAAGCAGTTTTAATATTTAAAAGCACTAAGAGAAAGATTTACACATACTTTGCAGAAAACCAGAATACAAAATTTCACATGTATCAATAAAGGTACATTACCTCTGGAAGAACCACTATAAACCAAAAGAAAACTTAAACCTAACACTCTAAACAGAACAAAACTGCTTTGTCACACATTTGAGGGCATAGAAAACAACCTTAATCAGAAACTCAAGAACTCAGAAAAGAATTAGACAAGAAATTTTTTTTTTAATTTTTTATCGTTGGCTGTTCAAAACATTACATAGTTCTTGATATATCATATTTCACAATTTGATTCAAGTGGGTTATGAGCTCCCATTTTTACCCCATATACAGATTGCAGAATCACATCAGTTACACATCCATTGATTTACATATTGCCATACTAGTGTCTGTTGTATTCTGCTGCCTTTCCTATCCTCTACTATCCCCCCTCCCCTCCCCTCTTCTCTCTGCCCCCTCTACTGACATTCGTTTGTCCCCCTTGTATTATTTTTCCCCTTCCCCTCACTTCCTCTTGTATGTACTTTTGTATAACTCTGAGGGTCTCCTTCCATTTCCATGCATTTTCCCTTCTCTCTCCCTTTCCCTCCCACCTCTCATCCCTGTTTAATGTTAATCTTCTTCTCATGCTCTTCGACCCTACTCTGTTCTTAGTTACTCTCCTTATATCAAAGAAGACATTTGGCATTTGTTTAGGGATTGGCTAGCTTCACTTAGCATAATCTGCTCTAATGCCATCCATTTCCCTGTAAATTCTATGATTTTGTCATTTTTTAATGCAGAGTAATACTCCATTGTGTATAAATGCCACATTTTTTTATCCATTCATCCATTGAAGGGCATCTAGGTTGGTTCCACAGTCTAGCTATTGTGAATTGTGCTGCTATGAACATCGATGTAGCAGTGTCCCTGTAGCATGCTCTTTTTAGGTCTTTAGGGAATAGACCGAGAAGGGGAATAGCTGGGTCAAATGGTGGCTCCATTCCCAGCTTTCCAAGAAATCTCCATACTGCTTTCCAAATTGGCTGCACCAATCTGCAGTCCCACCAGCAATGTACAAGTGTACCCTTTTCCCCACATCCTCGCCAGCACTTGTTGTTGTTTGACTTCATAATGGCTGCCAATCTAACTGGAGTGAGATGGTATCTTAGAGAAATGCAAATCAAAACCACCCTGACTGCTAGAGATGGTGAGCATTTTTTCATGTACTTGTTGATTGACTGTATGTCCTCCTCTGAGAAGTGTCTGTTCAGGTCCTTGGCCCATTTGTTGATTGGGTTGTTCTCTTATTGTCTAATTTTTTGAGTTCTTTGTATACTCTGCATATTAGGGCTCTATCTGAAGTGTGAGGAGTAAAGATTTGTTCCCAGGGTGTAGGCTCCCTATTTACCTCTCTCATTGTTTCTTTTGCTGAGAAAAAACTTTTTAGTTTGAGTAAGTCCCATTTGTTGATTCTAGTTATTAACTTTTGTGCTATGGGTGTTCTATTGAGGAATTTGGAGCCCGACCCCACCGAATGTAGATCGTAGCCAACTTTTTCTTCTATCAGACGGCGTGTCTCTGATTTGATATCAAGCTCCTTGATCCATTTTGAATTCACTTTTGTGCATGGCAAGAGAAAGGGATTCAGTTTCATTTTGTTGCATATGGATTTCCAGTTTTCCCAGCACCATTTGTTGAAGATGCTATCCTTCCTCCATTGCATGCTTTTAGCCCCTTTATCAAATATAAGGTAGTTGTAGTTTTGTGGATTGGTTTCTGTGTCCTCTATTCTGTACCATTGGTCCACCCGCCTGTTTTGGTACCAGTACCATGCTGTTTTTGTTACTATTGCTCTGTAGTATAGTTTGAAGTCTGGTATCGCTATACCGCCTGATTCACACTTCCTGCTTAGCATTGTTTGCTATTCTGGGTCTTTTATTTTTCCATATGAATTTCATGATTGCTTTCTCTATTTCTACAAGAAATGCCATTGGGATTTTGATTGGCATTGCATTAAACCTATAGAGAACTTTTGGTAATATCGCCATTTTGATGATGTTAGTTCTGCCTATACATGAACAGGGTATATTTTTCCATCTTCTAAGATCTTCTTCTATTTCTCTCTTTAGGGTTCTGTAGTTTTCATTGTATAAGTCTTTCACCTCTTTTGTTAGGTTGATTCCCAAGTATTTTATTTTTTTTGAAGATATTGTGAATGGAGTGGTTGTCCTCATTTCCATTTCAGAGGATTTGTCGCCGATATACAGGAATGCCTTTGATTTATGTGTGTTGATTTTATATCCTGCCATTTTGCTGAATTCATTTATTAGCTCTAATAGTTTCTTTGTAGACCCTTTTGGGTCTGCTAGGTATAGAATCATGTCATCTGCAAATAGTGATAAGTTCTTCTTTTCCTATTTTTATGCCTTTAATTTCTTTCGTCTGTCTAATTGCTCTGGCCAATGTTTCGAGAACTATGTTGAACAGAAGTGGAGAGAGAGGGCATCCCTGTCTTGTTCCAGATTTTAGAGGGAATGCCTTCAGTTTTTCTCCATTCAGAATGATGCTAGCCTGAGGCTTAGCATAGATTGCTTTTACAATATTGAGGTATGTTCCTGTTATCCCTAGTTTTTCTAGAGTTTTGAACATAAAGGGATGCTGTACTTTGTCGAATGCTTTTTCCGCATCTATCGAAATGATCATATGGTTCTTATTTTTAAGTCTATTGATGTGGTGAATAACATTTATTGATTTCCGTATATTGAACCAGCCTTGCATCCCAGGGATGGACAAGAAATTTTTTGTAAAAGTGAACAAGGGGCTGGGCTGGAGTTGTGGCTCAGCGGTAGAGCACTCGCTTCGCACGTGCAAGACTATGGGTTCAATCTTCAGCATCACATAATAAGTAAAGGTATTGTATCTAACTAAAAATAAATATTTTTTTAAAAGCGAACAACAAGCAGCTTATGTAATTTGGGAATAAGAAAATCATCTTTAAAAGAGGTATGCAAATTTTGAAAAAAAAATTCATCAGCTATGAGCCCTTCTCAAAACAT